ATGAAATTCTCGCACGTCGAATCCATCTCGCGTTCCTCGGTATAAAAGTTTGAAGTCGTGATAACAATATCGATAAGGATCCGGTTCACCTTCTTTACTATCAATCCAATGTGATATTAAGGCGGAATGTTTTCTGTTAATTATCGTCGAATCTATCAAAGTACTCGTCAAAGCTGAGGGAGATGTGACGACTAGCTTATTACCAGGTGACGCAGGAGATGCAGGCGGAGAAGTTTTATTAGTCTCGAAGTGATCGGTTAATTTTTCGTCTTAATTCGTCAGGCAGTATTTCGGTGAATGGAATAATTTTACTGTGTGGGATACATTCTTTTACAGTTTTCTCTAGTTGCAGAAACTGTGCGTTTGTCCATTGACCGACACCCGTATCGATTAGATTTGGATGTTGTGCTATTCCCCATCGAATTACTTCATCCCATACATCAATTTCTTCCATGGCCAAATCACTTCGTTTCAACAAATCAAAAAATGCGGCGACTTAAAGAAACTTGTTGGATTTCCCAAAATTGTTTGTACACAATATTCTCGAAGTTTTGAGAATGTTTCATACCGCGAACAAAGTTGAAATACTTGTACAAGTTGCCTTTGTAAACCATTTTATATCCTCGTTTATTATGTAGTCGACAAGTGATGTTAATGCAAGTTCATCCGCTGCAATCAACAATGATGTATAATCGTTATTTTTTTGATAAAATGACACCGTGCCTGTATACAAGTTATTGGTCGACAAAATAGAATGAAATTAATATATAATTCACTCACTTTAGAATGATTCTAAATATTTTTGGTTGAATGTTTGGGTTTCGAGAATGTGATTTTATCTTCGGAATCTTGGTACAATATTAATTTAGTCATCTTCGAGTTAAGATGGACTAAAACCCAAGACTCTAGTTGTCATACTACTTTAAACCAAACATTTTAAACCTTTCGGAGAATAGCTTACCTGAGAAATTTCACCTTTTTTTTTTTAGAAAAACAACTTCATTATAGGAAGAATAATATTGTTCCTTTAATTTCATAAGAAAATGATCTTTTAAATTACTATTGATGTCGATCGATATACAGTAGCTCCTTACATGTCCACTGGCAAACACGTAAAACTGAATTAGGCATTGATTAACGAAACACGTAGACGTAGATCTTTAACTAATATACTCTAACTTTGCCGGTGGGACATGTCCACCCATGTAAGAAGCTACTGTATATCGATCGATATCAATAGTAATTTAAATGATCATTTTCTTATGAAATTAAAGGAACAATATTATTCTTCCTATAATGAAGTTGTTTTTCTAAAAAAAAAAAAAGGTGAAGTTTCTCAGGTAAGCTATTCTCCGAAAGGTGTAAAATGTTTGGTTTAAAGTAATATGACAACTGGAGTCTTGGGTTTTAGTCCATCTTAACTCGAAGATGACTAAATTAATATTGTTCCTTATATACGAACATTAAATGCAATTATAAAAGCACAACTATCGCTATCTATAACTTAACATTAATGAAAAAATTTTTCACAGCTATAAGAACTAATCACAGTTACAACTTAAATATGACTATAGATATGATTATACGACTATAAATATAATTTAAATACGATTATACACATTCAAAGCTCTTTCAAACAGGATTGCTAAATTTAATTTGGGTAAGCGAAGTTATCATTACAAATACCAATTAGAACTTGTTTTCATTCTATTTCTCAACCATCTAAAAAAATCCAGTTAATATTACATAATTCAGAGAGGAGAAAAAACGACCTAAACCTGGAAAATTAAATAGATCCAGTTGTTAACGATACTTTATATTCAATCTTCATCCACGGCACTTGCCTCGCAAATAGTAATCACTTTCACGACAATTCCAAAGCACAATCCCAATGAGTCGTTTTATTATAAAAAACAAAGGTCTTTCAAGATTCCTAGAAGGAGAAAGCGAAATATATAAAGATCCGGATCATGAGTATGTTCTTTTAGATGATGATCTCAACTACACTCATTTTGATACGTGTTCAGATATCTCTTGTGACTCCACTGCTACGAATACAACAAAAACCAACAACACTAGCGATTTTTTTGAAAACGACAAAAAGAATTTTACCTTTACTGAAACAGTAACGAATTTTATTCAAGCCTATACAAAATCAGAATCAAATAGTAGTAACAGTAGTAACGTAGATAATATTAATATTGACTGGCTTGATTCAGAAGTAGATTTGATTTCAGAAATTGAATCTGTTGATAATAGCAATATGACTGATTTCGGAAACGAAGAAGAGTTGGATATAGAAATTATCAATTCGAATGAAATTAATAGATATTCAGAACAATGCGTCATTCTAGATATTAAAGAAGGCGAAATACAACGTTGTTCAAATCCAAGAATCAGACCGTTAAAACAATTATTGGGTATTTGGGAATTGGATTTTCAAACTATTGATCCAATATTTAATCAGAGAGAAATATTAGAAACACTTGGTGTATGCTCCTCGCACTTTAATTTTGATCAGGATGGATTACATGAACGTGGATGCAGTACAAAGCAACAGATTTCGATCAAAAAATCATTGATACATAAACGTCGTTGTCTTTTTTGTCACACTGACAAATATTTTTTTAGTAGAGGTGGAAAATGTGAAGCGCATTCATGGACAGTACTGGAACGAAATATACGTTTACCATGCATAGGTTTAAAAAATTGTCCTATATTTAATGAAAATTCTTTAACAAAAAAGGCTACGAATAATACTCGATGTCGTTTTATATGTTCGAAATGCTTTATACAGCAAGGTGGTCATTTTTATCAAAAACCGGGAAGAGGAAGACATAATCAAGCAAATTCATGTGTTCATCATCATATCGAAGATCATTCAAAATCATTGGAATTAATAGGAAAATGGTTACTCGATATAGCAAGCGCAACGGATCATAATTCTTCAGCATCTTTTTCAGCATGATCACCCACATTTTTCAGCACAATTGCTCACATCGTTCGACACAATCCTTTCTTTAGTTATATTTTATTATGTTGTGATTGTTGCGTTACCTGCCAAAAATCATATCCATGCCATATTTGAACCATCCGTATCAACTGTTACTTCGAGCCATGAACGGGAATTACTTGACGAACATCTCCATAGACGTATGTATATAATTTCCTAGTGAAAGTTTGATTTATCATTTCTTGGCAAGTAATCGCTAAAAACTTCAATTACTGACGTAGCAATTACAAAGTCTGCTAAACGAAATCAGCGAAAGAAGTTAGCTCGATATGCCTATAAGGCGAAGCTTGAGGTTCTGGTGAATCAGACAAAAGGCAAAGAAGCAACTATTATTTCCAATAACGACACAGACTCAGACTTCCGAATTGACGAAGAACCTACCATTAATCCTAATATCCGCGACAATTCAAATGATGGAAAAGCTGAGATATTCTACAATCCAGAAAGGGTAGGTTAATGAATATTACTTGGGTAGCGGGAGATATATATAATTTTGTTATATTAAGTGGAGCTTGAAGAAAAAGGGGTAATCATCGTCTTTAAGACAGGTCTAGGGGCCGATTTCACCCTCCCCCTCCCTTGCAAAGCTCTATTTATTATTGAGGAAGTGATTGCGAAATTATCATTATCTTTTAGCGAGGAGAGGAAGATCCTATAAAATTCCCGTGGTTTATACCACCAAGCTATTAGATGAGAAGTAATTTGCGTGTATCCACCTCAGAATGTAGATAGATATCTAGCCTACGGCAGTCCTGATTTGATGTCGACATTAAATATTAAATCGCTCTATTTTTTTAGCACAAAACACAAATAGAGACACGAAAATCCACAAAAAAAGATACCGTTAATTATATCCGATCACAATGGGTTTCTGAGGATTTCGACGCTGAGGATCTTAAATCAACCAATTTATCCCAGCCTTCCACAATAGTCAGTCCGAGGTCTACATTCATCGAAAAATTCTTAGAAAAAAGATGTGAAAGGCGAATTGCAAATCAAGTTCCTATTGATGACATCTCTTCGATACCAGCAAAATATATAAAGTTATTGGAGGCGGAGATATTTCATGAACCCAATGTCTCAGAATCAATACCTCAAAATCTATGGAATGAATTTGGACAGTGGGCATGTTTCAATAAGGTTCCTTATTTTAGAAAAAAATTCCGGTATCATTCTCGACGTTTGTGGTCTAAAATAAGACATGCGTATGATCAGCAAACGAAGGCTCAGAAGCTCTTAGAAGATTACGAAATTCCAGAAATATTCCAGCGACACCCAAAGGATAAACTTGTTATTGCGGACGAAACGACAAAAAAAATCATAAATAACATTCACCTCGACGGCTATAAATATATTTTAAAACCATGGTGTATTAAAAACATTTTTGGTGAAACGATAGTTGACTTCTTTGATCTCGGCAATCCAGTATCTGCGAGAGTTGCGCAATTTGCGGTGAATGAATATTATGAGCACACTCGTAAACATGTCAACCATCAGAGTGTTTCGTTTATTAAGAATTTAGCGGAACAATTTGGTTGTTTGACGGATAGCAATATAGAGCCTTACGTTACGGCAAGCATGGCATCCAACCATTCCCAAGACCATCGGAGTTGCGTAAATAAATTGATACGAGGACTTCGGCCATTATCAGACGCAGTTAATAATTATCTTGGTGTTTCTTATCCAGCGTTGTATGCTAAGATGAAAAAACTTGATCTTGGTTCTAACGTTCCCAAATCTTTTGGGGCCTTCCCAACTGTCGGTATTAACTTTAATTCTATCTGCCAATTCCATCGGGATCTGAAAGATCACTGCAATACACTATGCGTTGTCTGCCCTCTTGGAACATTCGAAGGTGGACATGTAGCATTTCCCGAATTAAAGTTATCATTTAATGTGAAGCAAGGACAGGCAATCGCTTTCAGATCACATCTTTTAGTTCATGGGAACTTTCCAATAACAACTGGGGCTCGCCATAGCGTTGTCTTCTATATTCATAATACCGTTATAAAGCAAAAACGGAAACTTAGCTCTCTTTTCGATGATGAAGATTTAGATGCATCGGAGATTATAGACAATACTCACTCGATCGAGGATGGCATTAAAAAACGTGACAAGAAACTACAGAAATACTCCCCTCCTAAATTAGTTCCTCGAGATTTCTCAAAGTTAAAAAATCATCGGCGGAGTCATCTCGGTAAGTGTATCTATCGTAACTTTTTCATTGAATTTTATATATAGTCGCTTTATAGCGGAGCTAGTGTCTCTGACACATATTCACGAATAGTACATAATATATATTTCTCTTTCAAACTTTAGATTTAGAACCAGAAGAAGAGGATTACCCGCTCAGTACAAAAGATCTTGACGGGATAATATCAGGAGAATGTCAATTTTTTAATGTAAATATATCAAATAAATAAAGAATCTCATTTGTAAATTACTGATAAATCTATACGTGTCCTTGCCATGATGAAATTTCCTGGATGAGACTATTTAATAAATTATCCTGGTAGTTCACGCTATTTCGTTCTAACCCAGTTGAACTTGATGTGATATGATTAATAAATTCAGAAATAAATCTGTTTTCATCTAATGTACCGACAAAGATTGACGTAGGTAGGCTCGAAGAGCCATCGCTCTGCAATAGATCCACTAGATTCTGCTCATTATCGTCATCTAAATAATCAGGATATTTGAATTTCGATTTTTGGATTAAGTTTTTTGGTTACTTCTTTATTAATCCCTTTACATCTCTCCAAATCAAGATATTTCAGATTAGTACTATTACCATCTTTTACTAGCATCTCTGTTATTGTAGAACTAGTTCGGGGATGCAGATAACTGTCTATTATTATTCCATTTCCAGCTTGTTGAAGATTAGTTTTGCAGTCGGATAAAAGTAAGATATTTTCTAAGAGATATTTAGCATTTTCTTTATCTTTAGCATTTCCTGAAATTATTGATTACCTCCAAGAATACCAAGTTCCAGTTATCGTTTTCATTAATCACAAAAACCCAGGGGAAACTAATAATGAAACAAACATGAATAGGATTCGAAGTCAATTACAAGAAAGAGGCTTAAACCCTTTAGAATTCAGACTTATGAATTTTAGATTTGGACAGAATCGTGATATTTCAGTAATACATCTATCAGTAAGGCATTTATATGAATTAAGGATTAGGTGTATTAATCTCGGACAAAATTTTGCAATTTCTAATAATTGGTATATTAGTAAAATCATCACTTCGATCAAGAATAAGAAAGTGTATATCTGGGCATGAACGCAGAATTGCACTAATTAATGCATCTGAGATTTTTAAACCTTCCAATTGAGATATACCATCTTTGAGCCATAGGGTGATTCTATCTTTTCACACATGACTCTTAAAGTTTATTAATCTCCAGTAAGATCCCGAGACATCTTTCGATCATACTCTCCATAGGATTGGACTACTACAGTGATACCGACAAACAAAGCAGGATAGAGCGCTTTATCCTTGTCTAAGAAACTGAATATGTTTTCAAGTAACTCTGATAAATTAAAAATATTTAGTTGTGCCATTTTCAGGTTGTATATTATATATCTTTAATCGAAAAAAATCTAATATTTGGATAATTAGTCACTCTGACCACCCAGTTGGTTTATTATGATAATATATTTAATTATTTTTTTTTGTGGTGTATTAATAAAAGCTAAGTTAAATCCAATGGTTAAAAATAGCCGTGAAACAGTTGCCTCTGGCAACAATACCTCAAAAATTGTATCTAAAATTGTTAAACAAGTATCACATAGAAGAATTTCGATTTCTCTTCACCAGTTAATGAAGATAGTAAAACCAGAGATTGAGCAAGAAATTATTAACTCAATAGCAAACCCGGATATTCCCAAAAAATGATGTGATATATCTGTAAAAAAGAAAAAAGCCATACATAATTATTCCTCAGATGAGGATAAAGATGAGTTCTGGATGGAATCTGATTCCGATGATGAATCTGATTCCAATAGCGGAGCTAGTGCTAAAGCGCATAATAAAACAACTATACATGTCGTGAGAGCAAAGAAAAGTGATTAGTAATTAATTTTCATCATAGATTCGAAATGGTCTTGCTTGATCAGGAGGGGTATTTCTTTTTCTGTAATTGACCACGACAGAATTTTGAACTGGAGAAGCATGATATCAGGTGCGTGTCTTAAACATTATCCAGCAATTGTCATAAGATGAGCTGGATTTTTAGCTCCGTGTACTACAGCACCATATACTGCTTCTAATTTACGCAAGTGGCGAGGAATTAGATCATAATCTTTTAAGAATCTATTGAACCATTTAGCTCCTGGCTTACCTGGTTCACCCATCCAGCCAGAAGATATAGCATTCTGAATCCAAGTTCTTTTAGCTTGTTCTTTATTCATTTCCATAGACTTGAATATTTGAGGGATATCTGGTTGCCCCCTATTTTTCGCATAGCCTATCACTCCATTATCTGTAATGCATAAAGACGTAAGCTCAGCGGGACAAATACAGAGCATTATTATTAACATCAGCGAGAGAGGTGAAGTAGAAACATCATATTCGTCTAACCTTTCTTTAACCAATTCTAATGTAAAATGGTCTGGATAATCAATTCTTTCAAACGCCTCGACAAATTTCGTCGATTCTGCTGGATTTCATTGACTTCTTTATAATATTAGGAAATTTTGTAGCTTTGATTCTTTCAGATGAAGCACCAAGATTTCTCAATTCTCGTCGAAGCCGTGAAAGATGTGATGAACCAGCATTAGCATTTGGAGCTGATAGGGCTAAGACATATGCTTCGGCTTTCACATTTCTAACACTAATCTTATCTCGTAAAATGCGATGGGTCATATCCTTGATAGTTTCTTTTGTTCGGAGGTCGCAATAATTTCTTCTTCTAAACTTTCTGGAGGTAAGGTTATGTGTGGAAAACTCTGGGCTCTGCCCTTAGCTATTTTGCAAGTATCCTCGATAACATATATGACTTTGGCTTTACCACCTCTCTGGTTAGGTATCAATATACTTATCTTGCTCATTGCTAAATTTGAATCCATCTCGAAGACGCCTTCGCGATCCCTTTTTCTATCATCTGTAAGGTTCTTGAGAATCTCAGAGGTGTATTGACTAAGTTCGGATGGGCTAGTCTTGAGGGTGAGATTGTATTTTTCGTTACAATAGCTGACATGGTTGAATGTTATAGTAGGTCAGATAGTTTATGAAGGTTATATTATATACACTATCAAAAATTAATTACTATCCTTCGAAAGATGTAAAATATTGGTTTAAAATAGCGTGACAATTAGAGTCTTGGATTTTAACTCGAAGCTGACGAAATTAATATTATTCTTTATACATGTACGTACATGTCATTTGAGATGTTTTAAAAGTTTGTAAAATCAGGTCACAATTTTATTATTTAGTTGTCTTAAAGAACCTTTATTCTGATCGTATAGTTAATATTCAAAAGAACTTTTTAACTAATGAATAATATTACAAATATGAAGAGTAAATAAAAAATATAACAAGATATTACATATCGATATATTATTAATTATTGTATTGGATATTCGGTTATATAATCCTGTATTTCTGGATATTCCAATACTGAATCATTTTGATCGTTTGTTGTTAGTTTATCTTTTTTCTCCGTGCTTGATATTTTTATTTTTTTCTTGCTAAAAGGACATATTACAACATCACGAGCTCTACGTCCAAGTGTTATTCTTATCTCTGACTTCTCGATGTCCTGTCTATATATTTGATAAATTCTGTTTTGTCCTATTTCATAACAGGTGAACAACTTACCAAAACCCTTCTCATAATTTTGGCTAGTATTCTGAAAAAGTTCATGTTGTTTTGGATCCGAAGCCAAAAAAGCATCTAATAAAGTATTCGAAAGTTTCCATAATACTGATTTTCGTGATTGTATGGTACGATCCTCATTAGTAAATAAGTTTTCTCCTACATATTCATTTAAAAGCATATTTAAACGTTCTCTTTCAGATTGTACTGATGCTATTTGTAACTTTAATTCATCACTTGTTCCCAACGTTTTTCCAATGTTTTGCTTAACATATTTAATCCCGAATCTCTCTAATGCCTCATCGAAGGCAAAGTAATGTCCAGCTTTAGTTATATTAACAGATGCTGCTTTACTCAATAAAATTCTCAATGATCTATCCTCATTTATAGAATTAAGAAAAAAGGTAATAGATTGAGCATAATTACTACGTCCTGCCACTGGAAAGAGGGGCAAAAGCTTTTAAATTTTCGATTTGCATATTCCAATTACCATATCTAATACCCATCTTATGTCCCATCCAATGTCCTGTCCAACAGAAAAATAAATACCAAACCTTTACAATGTTATTATTTCCAGACATAATATTATATATGGTTTCATTGCGACTTTTAACATATTTTGAAAAGTGATTCCTACTCTCACCCAAATTAATGTTATTACTCGTGATGCAGCTTGATAGTCCACCACTTTCTCTAACTTATCAAAATAATGTACACCAAGAATGGCCGCCAATTCAAAGATTCCATATCCTGAAAATATTGCTATAAGTGTTATACGCATATTTTTACTCGTGTGCCAACCACCCAATAAAAGATAAAATTCCGGATGTGTATCTTTCAAGGAAACAAGACGATTAAAAATTGCTTGATCAGCAGCCAAATTGATTTTTTGATTGAAATCCATACCAATATCATTTATATACATACAAGCAGCATTATGTATGTGTTCATTATTTGGATTATCTCCTGGTTGTAATATTACAATATTTGATGGTGAAAGATTACATCCTAATTCTATCCCATTTTCAAATTCTCGTAGAACATCCTGTATGTCAAAGTCATTTTTCTTTTCATCAAGTAATTTCTTAAATATGTTGTTATGGCATAATAATTCTTTATCAGTAAATAGTGAAGTCCCAACTTGGAATTTCATATTTATATCTGAATGATCATTATCATTATCTTGAAAAATTATTTCTTGATCTTCTTATAAGAGATATTTTTCTTGGCTAAATCTCTTTTTCTATAGTTAAATCTTGATTTCTGTGTATCATTAGTTGACTGATACAGGTTATTTGCTTTATATAATAAAATTCGCATTTTCGCGGCGATCACGTGATATTCATTTACCCCGTGACATGTGACTTTTGAGGCTTGTGACTGATTCGCATGGCTGATAATTTTTGTAATTCCAGCTGAAATTATAACGCATAATTTCATTGATCTACAATTTGATTGGTCGGAAACTTCACGTGACATATGATCTCATGTGACGTTTGATGTCACGTCCAACTGTTGTATGAGCCTCAAGTTTTATTACATCTTGCATATATATATTATTGATTCTTTGTATGCCAATATTATTGCTGGAGGTGAATAATTTTTGATTATCTCTATTTCAACTAAACTTCTGACCATTTTATCCATCAACTTCTAATAAAAAATGTGCATGGTTTGGAATATTTTTATATCATTCTACTCGAACCATCTTTGAAGAGACTATCCAAGTAACTTTAATCTTCGCAAGACATAGGTCAGATGGCCGTGTCCTTGTTATTCGACATTTTTTGCTTGGGAAGTTTTCCTTTTGCTGAGTACTTGGCAGGCAAAAATTTTCGAGTATCACCATTTACATATTCATACGAATTCCATTTCGTCCAAATATTCGTAACCAATGGCCACCAATTATCATTAAAATCCTCCATTGGAATTTCCAAAAAATCGTTTATATCAAAAAGATGACTCCGTTTTTCATCTGGTGTGAGATCTGATATTGAAGAAGCCATAATGACCGAAGATATAGCAGAGGTAACAACTGTAGACATAGCTGAGGTAACAATCGAAGCCACAACGGAGATAACAACTGAAGAGGTGACGGACGTGACAACTAAACCGAAAAGTAAAAAGAAAAAAAAGGTTGATACCTTTAACCTTTATATAAAAAAATGAAATAATCAAATTACGAAAAAAAAAGAAAACAAAAAAACAAAAAAACAAAAAAACAAAAAAACAAAAACAAAAACAAATCAAAAACAAATCAAAAACAAAAACAAAAAACAAACGTTACATTTAATTTATCTCCATCGACCAATCAGAATTTTATCCGTATTGACCAATCATAATCATGAATATTTCACATGATTTGCCTCCCGCCCCCATTTTTGTAAAGCCACCTAAGAGTGGTGACTTTATGCTTGCCGTTACTGTACTTTATGAAAAGTTAGAAAAGCATCGATTGGAATTAGAATAGTTAATAGTTAGCAAGCGTAATTCCCTTTCCCTCTCTTTTTCTCTTCTCAAAATAGCCTACCAAAACACCAACTCTTTCTTCCTCAAATTCCTATGTCGCGAATAATCCCAAAATTCTTCTAATTCTTACGCCAAATCATATTATTCATTTGCATTCTTTACCTGAAACGCATACACAGAACGATATCCGTAGATATCGGCACAGGAATTAGATTCAATAAACATAATTCTCCTTTTCCCAACCCTAGTCACAGACAAAATTTACCGAATCCACCCATTTATACTTGGCTTGTGACAGTGCCGCTGAATTTCTGCTAATTAGAACAGATTATTTACTGGCCCATATACGTATTTATAATTCATGTTCATTAACGCCGCTTTTTCATTTACATAGACAAATATTTATAAAAAAGCAATCAATGTTATTTCATGCAAAACGAGGTCTTTTTTAATAAGTCAATTTAAACAAGCTAAGATTTAATGACAATAGTGAATGTTTTAGCAGAACTCTATCAGTTTTTAATTTAAAAAATTAGGGGCAATTTGAAATAATTGGTTTTAGCGAATCAAAGTTTATAAAAAATCTATAAGACATTCAATTGCTCAATTGCTAAGAGAAATTATTTCACATGAGCATCGGTTGGTGTTTACGCAAACTTTCGGCTATTCGAGTAAAATGTTCGTTAAGTTCGATTTCATTTACCGCAAGTGTATATTGACATTTTAAGAGATCTTTGCTAGTAGGTTGAGGAAGATATTCTGTTGCAATATCGGCCATTTTTTTAAGTGACTCGCCGAATTTAGCGTGATTATTGAACAAAACTGTATATAAATACAATGGAGTCCTGATAAAATAAATATTATTAGAAAATTTGGTTATTATCGTTATGAAATTACAATGTATCCTATTTACCCTTTGTTAACCTCTCTTTGGCAAAGATTTCGTAGCGTAAGTTCCGGTGTATCACATTCACCATCAGACAAAAACATAATTACGTTGGTTCTAAGTAAAATCAGATTAGCAGTCAAGAGAATTTAAATGTATGGTGATGATAAAATTTAATGAGCTTACTTTTTTGGATCATAATACTTTTCAATGATTTCAGCTGCTTTTTTAATTCCTTCACGAAAAAAAGTACCTCCGGCTGGAGTAAATTTCATCATCATGTTCAAAAGCTCTTCTGTATCGGATAAGTTTTGATTTTCAAAAACTACCGTTGCCGCATTATTAAACAAAATCAGAGAAGTTATATCACGATCTACAGCTGCACGTCCAACGAAGGTTGCTTTTCCAGAGTGATTACGTGTTTTAATAAAGTTGTATACGGCTTCGTAAACAGCACCTAATCGATTGTTATGAGCATTGAGTAAACAAGATGTTATTGTTCTTTGATTAAGAGGTTTACGATCTCTAGAAGACATAGAGCTGCTTCTATCCACGACGAACACAATGTGGAAATTGCCAATTGGGTTTTCGCAAGTAAAATGATGACCATCTGTTGAAATATATCCAATACTTTGTGGAGGATGTGAATTTGGATTTAATCCAGGATGAAACAATCCCTGAGTACAGAATGACTTTATTGGTTCTTTTTCATCGATAGCCTTGTGATGTTTTTCATCGATGCATTCATGATCACATTTTTTGAAATTTTCGCGATCTTCTCTCGAATAAGGATCTAATCCAAAATATAATATCTTAATATCAAAGTCTCATTTAATGTGCAAAAAATTTTATTATTAGCTACCTCGAAATTTAGTTCTCTCCCAGAAAACGCGGTGAGAAATATAGTCTTTCTTGCGATTTGGGTCAGGATTTATGTTTGCTGAAATTCGCTTGTATTAATACACGGTAGGATAAACGAAGAAAAATCCTACTCAACCAACCCTTTATGTGTTCTAAAATCCCTTCTTTTTTACCACCAGTGAGACTTTCGCAAACATCTGGTTCTTTGCAATAGTCTATATGGCGATGGCGACCTATATTTTGACAAAGCTATAATTTTTAAATTAGTGTTAGCTTCTTATGTTGGAAAATTCTTATATATAGATACCTTATGGCAAAGCACAAAATCACCTCTATCACCGACAGTCAATTGATGCCCTAAATAATTCATTTAGTTTTTATATCTTTTCAAGTAACAAACAGGTCAAATATTTTACCTTCAAATTCAAATTCTTCTTGTTCACACGTGAATGTTGTCAAGTGCATATTTCCATGAACAGTATCTAAGTATAATTAACTAACTTAGATTGTTTCTAAAGAATTAATCGAAAATTTGTGCTTTTTACCGTGTTCACTATTATGTTCTCTTCCGTGATTATAAGGTAGCGTACACTAGATAAAGTTGATTAGTAAAAATAACAAGATTCTAAAATATTTCGATTGAAACCTACATAATAAGCACAATGTGGGCATCTCACATCGCAGAAATGAAAATTTGATTTCTTATTCTCTATGTGTTCACCCGAATCATTTGGACATGTTGCATCACATTCGTGCGTTCTCTCGTGTACATGTTTCCCTTCGTGCTTGAATTGATATGGAGGTATTTTGATGCAACAAGGAAGTCTTTGGAAAGTTTGGAAATACTAAAGTAGTTTAAAATGACGTGAGTGTATCATTACTTATAATTACTATAAAAAAAGATTTTACTTTAGTAAACATAAAGCTTCCAAATTTATTCACGTATTCTGCTTCTTCCTTTATTATTGCGGTTGGCTCAGTAACAATTTTACAAATCCCCGATTCTTCGCATTCGTTAGGACACTGATGTTCTCCACTAAATTTAAAACACTGTTAAATTTAAGTTTCATAATAATAACGATAATGAATCAAAAATACAGACCCGCAAAAATGCTCCACATTTTTTTCAAATGCATGGAAATGCGCCCTGCTTTCGCATCTTTGACGACATGCAGCTATTGCACACTCGACTGGGCAAACATCATTCCCACATTTGTGCAATACATGGATTTCTTCACAAGGAATCTGTTCAAAAAAATGGAAAATTAGAATATGGCACTTCGGTGACGTATAAACTCGACTTTAACTACCCAGGGATGGAGACAACTTACGATGCAGTAATTACGACATTCATAATGTCCTTTTTGAGTATCAGCCTTTAATGAGCAAGGAGCACTGCAATAATGACGCGTTGCTTCACACAAATGAACTTCATTTCCTGGCATAGTTTCATGACCAATCTCTTTTGTGCATCTTAGTTGACAATTTCTCTTTCCATTATAGGTACAAGGCGCTCCGCATGAATGACTTGCGGAACAAGCGTGATATCCTTCATGTCCAGCAAATTTTATGCACTTTGGTATAGTTTCATCAAAATGAATTTCTTGAAATTGGCAAACTGAATGACATTTATGATCAGTCAAACAATCGTGGATCGCATCATCTTCATTATCATTATGTCGGCTTGCTTTAAAACATCCAAGTCCACAATTCTCACACCTTAGACGACAGAAATTCCAAAATAATTTGAGACAAGTAATTTCTTTTTCTAGGGCATATTTGGCAATGACAATTTCGTTGTGATCATTTGGAAATCGAGAAGTATTCTGGAAAAACCACTGTTGTAAACGATTAACACGTCGGTCGATGATAAACTTATAAAATGTCTCTAAACGATCAAACCATTGAGAATCGGATGATTGATCACGAGCTTGAACGTTTACTTCAAAGAAATCTCTTAAATCTGTAGAAAGTGAGATATATATTATTCAACTTTCTTTTAATTTAAACAATAGAACGAATACATGCCTAATGAAAGATCGATAAGATTCATATTATCTTTCAACAAAACAAGACCAGTATCAGGCATTAATTTAATTGACGCGTCAACGTCGTCAAAAATGTCTGATAAAGATAGCTCAGGATCCGGTATTGGTGTCCCTTCGTCTCGATTCTAATAAAATAGTAACTTAGCATTCATAAAAATAAAAAAATAAGTTTCATATAATTTACCATTAAATGCCTTATGATATAAACAGGTTGTGTTATGTTTTCTGACGACAAAAATGTGTCGTCTTCTTTTTGCTCAAGGCCAAGAGATATTGCATTTTTCATAAACTTTTTCAATTCCAGCGTACGTATGCTAATCACAGTTCCTTGAACACTTCCCCAATCGCAAACTCTAGCGAAAATTAAACCAATTAATTTTTAGTTGTATAAAAAACATTAACTTTTAAGAACAAGAATATAATGATATATTACTTTAGCTTCGTCATTAAAACCTAATAAAATCTTTAAGTTTCAAATTACATGGAAAAAGATTTACATTGAAAGAAAAACTACATGTATTTTCATACCTTTATCTTCTCTACAAATATTTTTGCATTTTTATATTGAGAATTTTGTCCATCTAATTTGATTTTCAAATTTTTGATAGTTGTGTAAAAGGACGAGTCGTTGAAAACTGGCCAGGGAATAATGCTCATCTTGTTTCGATAAAGCTTCGTAATGAAGTTATCTTTTTCTTCCTGTTATTATATTAATAAGTGTGAGAATGCACACAATTTCTACAATTATTTATTTGAAACTTACTGTATCAACTATTCTTGAAAATCTTGAATGAAATTCCGAAACAATATCCTCGCGATCAGATTTGGCTACATCTTTGATTATGATGCAAAATCTTGCCTTGATGATAATTAGCAATATTAAATGACTGAATTAATTAACTAGTAAAATCATTTGCCATTACAACCTGAAAGATGTCGGAATCCTCTCCGAAATAATTGGTGCCATCTTGAAACCGTTGAAACATCGAAGATATGTCTCGACTCACAGCAAACTGGCTTTTAAATAAAACGAGGTTGGAAAGCGCCGCATTGAGCAACTGTAGAAAAGTTTCTTCCTGTGGCGTTCTCTCGATACTAGCAAGACCTATAATATTTAAAGTTAAAGTTTGTATTAATCTGATAATGATCAATTTAATCATTTATAAAGACAAGCACTGACCTTCAAAATCAAGCGCAACATAGAGAACTTCATCTGTTTTTACTAATGTATAAGTAAAGAATTAAATTTGGTTTAACTATTGAAAAAATAGCATCAACTATAAAAATTTTACCAAGGGACATCCAAACTCCTTCGGTGCAACGCTTTGTTGTGATAGAAATAAATCAATCAATAAAACAATCATATCATATTAACTGCTTCTTAATCAATCATATATTACCATTGCCGAGCCATCGAAGGTTGAACCAACAAAATGATTTAAAAGATAACTCTTTCCTATTATTCAATATGACAATCTTAATATATATATCAAGTTATTATTCATCGTAAACTATGTGACATGTATCATACCGCATGATTGTTCGCCCATCGAAGAAATCACTTTGACTTCTAGATGAGCATAATGCTCAAAAATAGCTTCGTACCATCCAAAAGAGATAGTTCTGCTGACACTTCCGATAAATCCAAAGCCTTCATCAAATGATGGATTTTCTATCTCAGAAGAAAAGAGACCATCCTGAAGAGGAATAAATTTATTATCACGGGCTACAGCAATTTGTAGTGGAATTAGGCAAAAGAAATCGATCAACCATCTGTGTCGTATCGATATTACAAAAATTTAGCATCTAACGTTAATGATTATTTTGTATTATACGTGTATCAAGAAAAATACATGTCGATGTACTTACTCGCCAAATTGATAAGAAGTGAAATTATCTTTGATTTCCTGAAAAGTCGTAATTCTTGTATTAAAGTCTTTCAAATGACCAAGAGGCTTTTTCGTTTCTTTCGCGAATTTCGCAAACATTTGTTCAATATATTTTTGAATTTTAACCGTGTAGTTTTTTATCTCCAAGTTACTGGTCGAATTATCTACTACGACTGTAAGTGTTAAAGGTTTATCAACGCGACCTATTGGATTTGTCACCGCATATTTTGTGAATACCATTGAATAAACATCGAGAAGGCCATTAACCGTTTTTTGTGTCTCAATGCTAAATTCTTTCCAAGTCCCATATTTGATTTTAACAAATTGGCTGGATATTTTTAATTTTTTATCGGTTAAAATTTCTATTACTTGTTTTTTTTCATTTCCAATCACCAATAAATCCCCTACATGGATGTCACGAATAAAGTGTGTCTCATTCCCAACAACAAATGGTTGCTTACTTTCCACTTTAATTTTACCAAGAGATCTTTGCTGTGATTGTCTTTCAAAGCGATATTGCGTTTTTGCGTGAGTGATTCTTATTATGACTGAATTAAAAGTGCCTTTTTCTCGATCAATCGTAGTCAAATGCATTTGACGATTTTTAAGCATGGAAAATTGAAATATTTCATGTGATTCAGTGAATGTAGTGTCGACAATTTTGTTGGCATTTCGACTAAAAGTCTCGCAAAAATACACGTAAGCTCGAACTAACTTCTTTGCTGCTGTAAAGTGCGTACTAGAGTCAATATAAATCACGTACTTGCAAAGTATTTTCATTATTAAAATTCTTTACCTTGCTTCTGACGCTTTTCGTCAAGCTGACTTGATGTCGCAATTTTGATTTCTTCTTTTATTTCTTCCCTAACAAAGGCTACGATGCATGTGCCATCTGGTGTGCTACGAACACTCGTAGCATCAGGCGGAATTTGTATGATCCCTGGAAGAAAGCTATCATTCACTAAATTATAAATACGGGCGCGGCCGTCTTTTTCAACAAAGCATATATTGTCGGTGTTTTTTATGAAAAAGAAATGTGTAATATCTGGCACCGCATTGTTATACCATTGACGGAGTTGAATATTACGATAATGAAGATACAAATTGGTTTGATCTTGCTCGAATGTATATGTATTCAACTAAAAGATAATTAATTAAATAATTAGTGATCCCAATATCAAACATTATAAACTATTCTTACCACACCGCATTCATTACTATAAATTCCTATCAATCCTCTCAGCTCGTTAACCGAAATCATAAAATGTTCGCCTGGATTAATTTTTTTAATTGCACTTTGATCGAATATTGTTTTTGCTAAACGCTTAATATTATCAAAATATATTTCTAGCTTTTTGGAGTTTTTATTCCATAGAAACATCAAAAAATTTTTTCCCACTTGTGCGATATGCCTAGATTTTGTTGATATTAACATTAATCATTATAGTTCGTGTCAAAAATTATCATTAGCAATTATATAACACGAATATTAACCTGAGCTCAAAGACCTCTGGATCAATTTCTATAAAATTTGCGGGACTTCTTCCATGTAAGGGCAGTGGTTGAGGCTTATGAAATGTGTTTTTTTGGAGTTCTAGCGTATCTTGTTCACTCAATTGAGTTTGAAAAAGTGTAATTCGTAATCGTGCTGGGCGAGTTGCTTCAATTTTATGCACCATTTTATACATGTAATAATCTTGAAAATAAAATAGAATACGTGTAACAGGTAAAAAGTTCATATGAACTTTACACGTATAAATTAAATTCAACATAAGTTACCTTTTGTTTTTTCAAAAGCCAAAACTACAAAAAGTTCACCATCGGGATATTTTGATTCTGTTTCTACGCAAATTCTTTCCACATGTTCAAATTCAAGATCACGTTCTTTCAGATCGAATTCGTGTTCAATAGATGAAATGTTGTTATTATTCAAAATTGTTTTTACTATCTGGGAGAATGTATTCTTTCTCCAATTTTCATATTCTTTAAGGAATTCCTCAAATATAGAGATATCAACGTTATCCACCGCAAGTTGTTTGGCAAACATATCATCGGAAATCATTTTTTCTTGATCATTAAGTTTTGAAAATATTTTGTGAGCGTCATTTGTTGGTTCACCGCCTATTATAAACTTAACGACTTTCTTGAATTTTCCTTCATCTGTTAATTTTTTTACAAGTGACAGAAGATCTTTAGTTTTATCGAAAAAAATCTCCGAAATTGCGAGCTTTTTTGTATTTAGTGAATCTTGACTAGTGTATAACTTTGCAAAAATATATCGCATTTTGATATCTTTCCATGAATTATTGTTGATGCATTTCACAGTGGTTTGAATTTCTCTATATAAACGTGGGTATTGATCTTGGAATTCTTTAATAGCTATGTATATAGTGAAATTAGTTTAAATTTAGATCAAAGCTTTATTATTATGCTGTTACCAACTTACCCGCTCTATCAATGAATTCCATCGGATTCTGTGTCTCTCCCGAATTAGAATATAAACCCGGATTAAAATCTTAAATTCAATGAAAATTCAAAAATTTAAGTAAATTTAAATTCATACTATTTTGGCCTAAATCCGGTTTTTGATCTTTGCTAAAGTTTGAATTTTCAATAAAAATACTTTATTTGATAAATTACCTGACTTTATATCTGTTAGTTTATCTTCAAATTGACTGTAATTTTAAAAAAATTAATGAATAATAAAATTACAAAAGCACATCATTTTAAATCATTAGAATCTTTACCTATACGAATCGCGTAAAAGTTGCCATGCTATTTTCTCTCCAATAACATTCCTCTTCTCTTTCATTATGGCTATTTTTTTATTTTTCTCTATTTTCAAAGCATTCATAGCATCATTATATGGTGCAAAGAGCTCGGGCATTTTTAAACAATCTTTAACAATGATCTCCAGATGTTCCAGTTTCAATTTTCGACTTAATTGAAGCGCACATTTTTGAGTTTCAAGTTTTAACTTGAAATATTCTTGAAGTTCTTCAGTAGAGCTAAAGGTAGCTTTATCTTTTTTAGTCTCCTTTTTTGTGGGAAGCACTTCGCGAGTAAGCAATGTTTGATTTGAAACTGATTCAACTATTAAAGGATGTAACGGAATGCTTTCATTAGCCAAACTATTTTCCCGTTTTCTGAGTTGCGGAATATAAATCTGGTAAAAAATAAAATTAAAATACTTTTTTAAACGCATATGCAATTAATAGAATTCAATTACGAACCTCAAAGCCAGGATAAAATTCAAAATTTCCTTTTTGCTCTTCACTTTTTTTCACCTCAAAGTCGTAGCATATATCATTTTCATCGAGATCATCTTCCTGCCAGACAATATTATCCAGGTCTGTTGGACTCATTATGCATATTTGATGCTCGGTAAGTTTTGTAAGGTATCTACATACACAAATATTTTACAAGCATGAATTTTTAGAGATTGAAATTTAAACTAAATTTATTACCTATGCATATTAGTAAGATTCTTTTTACGATGTGAGGAAGCAAAATCTTCATAGCAACCATCCTCGCTCCAGTGTATTACCAAGAATTGGTGTTCGAAAATGCTCGTATTAGCTCCAACCGAGGGTAGTTTAAGAAGATATATACCAGGTCTCAAAATCTTATTTTCGATTGAACTTGTTCCGTAAGCATTGTTTGAACTTGCTGATGTTATCAGCAACTCATAACTAAACATTTGATAAACGTAAGCGGCTTATCATGTTGTTTATTTAATTAAAACTAAAACTTACATTTCTTGATCAATAATATTCTTATTCAATAAAAATTCGGCAATCATTACATTACGACCATAGCATCCAACGAGACGAACACGTTGAGAATTCAATTTTTTGTAATCAATTTTAGAAATCGATTTGAAACTGTTAGGTACCAGTTCACGACAAAGGCTTTCCACATGTTGTTGCGAAATCATAATTTTATCCACTATGAACATTTATGGACAATTAAATCAATGATAGGGAAAGAATTTAAACTTAAAGCTCAAAAATTTCTTTACATACCAAGACCATTTGTACCTTCATCTTTACACAAATCTAATAATCGATAAAGTCCGGGAATAACTTCACATAGATCTAACGCTTGTTCAGATTCGTAATTAGATTCAGATTTAGGGTCGATTTCTATACATGTATCATCATCTACGTCTAGTTTTGATACGTTATATTGAAACTCCGAACGTGTCGTGTTACAATTCTTTTAAATAAATATTCAAACTAACCTTGCATTTTAACGTTTCTATCTTCTGCAATTTCAGCTTTTTCTTGATAGCTCGACGTATTGGCATCAAACTGACATGAATTCGTGGTAATGTGCTTATTGTCATAGCTTTTACTTTCTGAATTGCATGGAGAGAAATATCTATAAAATTTTCTTATAATTTGCAATAAGTGGATAATTACCTGGTTTTTTGTCTTCTGGCATACTGCTTGAATAAGGGCTAATTTTTAATAGAGACGAGGATGAAAATTTGTCAGTTTTACTAATGTACATGTATTTATTTGACGCGATCAGATGATTTGCATTATTATTATTTTTTTGACCACATTGTTAACGTTAACTTTTGAATAATGTAGTCGTGAACACTTAAAGCTTTTCATGTGAACTTCCGCATTATTACAGGTTTGACGTTAAAGGTCATAAATTGCAATTGTGAAAAATTAAGAAGAGGAATTTTCGCCAGATCACATGTAATATATTATCTTATTGGATTGCTTCCAAAGATTTGTAGCCGTTTTTAACAATAGCAAGAATACATTATTCTTTAAATAACATTGATGACGATATCAATGTTTTATGAATGATAATTATCGTACATACGTAATCTGTTAAAACTAATTTCTCCTCAATTTATTTTTTCTATCCATTAATTTCTATCTTGGACAATAAATCGTATGTTAATTAATTGAGAAATTTTAACAATGTAAACAATTAAAAATGTATAAACTGTGCCGCAAAAACATTAACTAACAATTTACAATTGCAAATAATCAATTACCTTTTCCAAGTAACTCATTGATTGTTCGTAAAAATCTTTACTAAAACTTCACCCAGAATCTTTACCTCTCTCACTTGTGAACGTTATTTTTGTTTGTTGATTAGGTCCTTTAGTCCAGAAAAAGCATCATAATTATATAATAGAAATAGAGAGTTTAATACTTTTGGCTAGAAAAAGTAAAGGTTAGAGTTAGAACAAGCTTGGTAACGAACCCCTTCCGTCCATTATTATCCAACGATATCCGTAGATATCGATTAAACAGCTCAAAAACCTATCCGTAATTATCAATTAATAATTCAATGCACTAGGGACACGGAAAAATCCCTCTGTGATTTTTTTTGAATTTGAAAAAAATTCCGTTTTATTCCGAGCTTGGATTTTTATTAATCATATATATTAATTAGTATCATATCGTAATGCACGAAAAAATTATTGACACATTACATGATGAAATTGTGATCTAAAGATATCTGATATCTATTTCGCTAATTGTTCCAAAAATCAATTCAATTTCATTTAAATTAATTTGTCCATTCTTGTAAAAGTGCCATAGATACACTATTATTAAGTGTCGAATTTAAAGTGTGTTGCGTTATTTGTACAAGATTATGATTTTTTTAATTTTTTATGACTTGCTGTTTTAATATGCGAAATAACAGTTGTTTTATGAATACGACTATTTTTGTTCAAATAAAATGGAAAATCTATAAACCGATTTTTTGTAGATGTATACCGAACCGATTTATTCCATTTTATTCCCGTTTTGTTCAAAAATTCCGTTTATACCGATATCTACATGTACATGTAATTTGGACGTTTGTGTACATTTAACGATTAAAATCATCCTATTGGCTATATTGTTACGCATATAGGATGTTTCGTTTATGTGGGCAGTAAAAGAGCATGTCCCGGTACATGTATTTTTTCACAATGACATCGACGATAACAAAAACAATTCCAGCCTAAACAAATTTTCATCCTCTTCTGTAAATAACTGGCTGGAATACGTTAAATCAGAAGAACAAATAAATTTTTTTTGAGTTTTACAATTTTTTTGATAAAATGTAATTGGAAATGGATGAAGATTTAACCGTTGCTTTATAATGTCTTTGTATGAAGATAAAATATATAATGAGAGATTAACAAACAACTTATTAAGAGATATCATTTTATTTTTAAGTAGTAAAAAACTGTTTTTTAGATCCCATTTCCGAGAAATACATGGTCGATTTGAAATATGCTAATGATGGTACTCTAGAGTATTTAAACGCGAATTTCGATAAATTGAGCGGAAATGACAAATTATGTTTAGCAAAACGGCCCGTTAAAGGAGTAAAGTGTATACATAATGCAGGCATTATTCATCGGGACGTGATAAACTTGATAAGAAAGTTCTAACGAGAAATTGCGTCCTTGATTTATACGGGATACTACGTTACGCATACGGGAGTTTACGGAGTCGTACGAAATGATTACGAACGTGTCAGGAACCTCATGGGGATGTATGTCAGGGATGCGTAAGGAACTCGAAACGTTTCTGTCAGAAATTACTGACCGTATACTTAACGAACAGAATGTACGAACGCGTCAGGAACTTCATGGGATGATGCATAAGGAACACAAACCTTTGTTTGAAACACGCTAGGAATGCATACGCAATGCGAACATAATGCATACGTGTTGAACCGGAAAACTATGATATATGTCGGGAAACAAAACCTTTGGAAATGCACATGGAAAAATTAAAAAGATGTAAATAGATGCCAATTCCGTAATCAACGATTCACACCTACTGATTCCGGTACTATTTCGAAAAGCCGAGACGTAGTAGACGTAGTTAGGTAAGAGTTAAAAATAATTATTTTTCCAACCACACATTGCCTATCCTTTATACAATTTGGTTATTATCGTTATATAACGGATCGTAAGTTAATACAAAATTCGCGGATCTACAGTAATGTTTGTAAGAATTTTTACAAAAGGAGCCTTGGGATAAGAAATATAATAAAATTTAAGGTAGTTATAAAAATAAAATAGAATTATTATGTGAATTTATCATTAAAATAGTATCAAAAAAGTTTATAAGAAAAGTAAACATGAAAGAATAATAAGACATCAGTTTTCCATCAGGACTGCGGGACAGCTTCATGTTACATTGGGGTGCGTCATATGATAATTAATCAAAACCATGTCAGGTCCATAGCAAAAATTAATAGTACGTTTAAAGATAAATTGATAAATTAATGATGAGATAACACACGATAACAAATCAAGATTCACCTATCACGTAATTAATTGATGCTTTAAGTCGGAGATACAATAACTTCTAGATTTTATAGTAAATAACCAAAATTCTTGTATTACAGTCCGCACGGAAAGTAATAAAGGTTGATTTTTTAAAATTCAGATGCAAATTTTAAAGACAACTACACAAAAAAATTATCTCGTGAACGTCTCTAAGTAAGGCATCATATTTATAAAAATCAACACATGATACGTTTCCTTTCTATGTCAAATGCAGGTTTGAATGCAATTTGAATGTTAAAAAATTATACAAACTATAACTAATAGTGTTATTTCAATTTTCATTTCACAGTTTTTGATTTATAATTCAATGGCTGGTACATGTATAAATACAATTATTTATACATGTATCAGAATTTTTCCAGACCCTGCAGTGCATCTGCACGTCTATAATTAGAGAGTACTTAAAAATTTGGTATGATTATAATGGATTTAATATGCTTTATTCTGACCATTTAGTATATCATTTTTGATTTGATACAGTAATTAGACCACTTCGTAATAATAGAATAATTTCTAGTATAATCCCAATAGAGTTATTTATATATAGGCGTGCCTTTAATCAAGTCAAGTTTTAATAAAATTCAAAGCAATTAAAACAGTATTACTACCTCTTGCTTGTATTATTAGTTCCCCTTGTAGGATAATCTAACCGTAAAGAGACTTTATTCACCGTTGCATCTCGTGATTCTGTGAAACCCATCCCGTTTGCCTTAAATGAAATCTATTATCTTTGTGAAACATGTAATCCCCTTTATAATTCTTTTATAATTTACCATCGACAATAACCGTGGTTACTGAGGAAATCCAGTTAGAGAGACCCGCTTACATCAAAGAAACTTCAGTCCAATCTCCCACAACGTGTTAAATCTGTCCATCTTTGAAATCCAATAGATAGGATAGGTGTAACATTATAACGATAAATATTACATGTAGCCGGTAGAAAAACTTGCAATTGAGATTGAAATTTTTTCCCTGCTCGTTTCCATCCATTATTTGTAAAATGCCTGGAGAAAAACCAAAAATTGATATCTCCAAAGTTATTGGATACGAATATCCTCCTCAAAAAGTATAATAATGATAAATAATAACATGTAATTAATAAATCAACAAATTCGAGTTATCTAATTTAAGCAATTTTTTGCTTAGATATCCTATAATAGGAGAGACGTGATTTTACATGCACTTGGTATTGGAATAGGTCCAGAAGAATTAAAATTCGTATATGAATTAGGTGAGAATAAATTATAACTTTCAAGGCCAAAACAATATTAATTTGTATATTTTGATTAGATCCGAATTTCGCAGTCTTTCCCACGTATCCGCTTGGTCTCTCATTGAAAGGCGATAGCAACGATGTAAATTCTTTTGCTGAACGTGTCGCTCTTAGTGCTTCAATACCCGGCTTTCCACCAGCTAATTCAAAAAAAATTGTAAACGGTCAACAATCATTGGAGATTTTGCATCACCCATTGCCGCTAGAAGGAAATTTTGAGATGCGTTCCAAGATCGTTGGTGTATATGATAAAGGTAAAAGAAACCAGTTTTACTTTATATATTATTAAATAATTTCCTGATCGTTATTATTTCAACAATAGGAAAAGGAATGGTTCTCGTCGATAAACACTCTACATTAATCGACCCAAAAACAAATATCGTATATGCTAAATTAGAAAATCAATCTTTTATGTTTGGGCTTGGTAGTTTTGATGGTCCAAAACAAGAAAAAGGGCCAAGATTTGTGCCACCAAAAGATAAAAATCCAGACGCAATAGATGTTTTGAAGACGGAAACAAATCAAGCATTGTTGTTTAGGCTTTCTGGGTCGGTTAAATAATGAACTTTTATGCGTGTTTTTTGAGTTTAAATAATTATTAATGAAATTTTTGAATTTAGGGATTACAACACTTTGCATGCTGGTAAATATATGTAATTACCGAAATTTTCAGTATATCAGATTTAACGCATCTATCAATTCAATTTTTTACGCATACAGACCCAACGGTTGGTCAATCCATTGGATTCAACGGAGCAATTCTCCATGGAATAGCCACCATGTCATTTGCTGTTCGTTCCATTCTCAAACATTTCGCAGAGAACGATCCAACTCGTTTTAAATCAGTGACTGGCCGATTCTCGAACCCTGTATATCCCGGAGAAACATTGGAAACACGCATTTGGAAAATTAAGGAGGATAAATCCACGATTTTAGTGGTTTTTGAAACTGTTTTAAAAGAACGAAATAAAGTTGCAATTAGTAACGGGGCGGCTGTTTTGCTTAAAAAAAGTGCCGGCGTTGAAAGTGCAAAGTTATGAAAAGTATGTATAATGTACGAGTTCGTCAATACAATAAATGTACTTCGATTTTTTGTGTTCGTGGTTTCGAGAATATGATTATATGAAGAGCAGGATTATTACTACATCTATTACGCATTATCGTTAAGTGTGGGCAGAATAACGAAGCACAGACGATAAAATTGCAATGTAATCACTCGTAACGAATATAAAGCACTTTAAGCGAATTCCAAAAATGATTCATGTTTACTAAGCGCTTTAACGATAGTTTACTTTTAAATTATTTGAAATATAAAAAAATTCTTTATGCAAATCGAAAAAACCGAAAACGTTACAACGAAATACGTAATTATAATTTTTATGAGATAGATATTATTTCAAACAAACAAAACAAATGCTTTTTTTTAAACTTTAATTTTTCCTATCCTCATGAAAAGTCGCTACCGATTGACGTTGAAGCTCTTCGATGCTGCAGTTGATATCATGTCCATGTCCACGTTCAGCTTTTATCTAAAATTAGATGAATTGATAAATAGAAAATCAATACTTGTACATACATGCACATATCGATATACTGTAAATGTACTTACGATCGCTTCACTATCTGATGCTAATAATTCATTCCATCCTGGTGCATGCTTAACTCTACTTTTATTAACCTTCTCTTTTGATGATGACGAAACTTTATTTAATAAACATAATATATATATTTATCAAATAGATAATGAATTAGATCTAACCTTTTAATGTTTTTTCCTTTTCTTTCTCCAATATTTTTGGATCATTATTGGAAACGTGACTTTAAAGATACGTAAAAGTAAAATAAATTGAGATTTTTCGTGTTGTCGTTTTAAGAACAATTCAAAAAAGAATGATATTGACTTTTTTGTTACTTACCTTCCAACCGGTGCAGCATACCATCGAGAAATAGAAAAATTCTTACGTTGGATAATAGTTACAACAGAAAAGAATTTTTTATTTTTGTAGAGATTATTGAGTATTAAAGAGTGATTCATTTTTATTGCATTGGGAAATTAAAGCTGAGGTAGGTATATATATAAATAAAAATCAAATCAAATAATGTTTCTTAGAACATCATGTGCATTACGTATTTATTATTTCATCATTACTCATGAAAATCAAAACAAAAAACGTAAATAATACACTATTTTTTTTAGCTTCTAACCCGACTCCGATCTTATTTACCAAAAATTATAGTATAAAAATATTTAAAATTGTACGTTTAAAAAAAGAATTTTTAATTTAAAATACCATTATTCATTTCTAACCCTTTTACCTTAGTTTACCTTAACAATTCTCTTAGATTCCCTGATTTATTAACCAAAACAAAGCTTTTTACTGGATATTCTGGAATAATCATTTTTTTTTAGTATATATAAATTTAGAGAGGTAGGAAAGTAATGGCGGAATAATCATTAAATCACAGAAAGTTATTATTTCCTCTGAAATTTTTTCTATAAAGTGTAAATTGTTAATTTTTGAGATATTAAAGATTATTTACAAATGTATGAAATTGGAATAATTACAAAAAAATTCTTGATCTTCCAAAATATATATTAAGAAATCTGTCTTGAGTCATTAATTAAAATTGTTCAGCATATATAATTATAGTTATTTTTGTGTCTTGAGATATACAGTGGCCATCAAAAGTAATGCGACGCTTAAATTTTTTACTAATTGTAATTAGTAAAATATGTGATTTTCCTTACATATAAAAGTTTTTAATTTTACTAACAAATATTTTTTATTTTTACCTCAAAAAATAGCTAAAGTTC